TCCAAAATCATAGAAACGGGCCATCTCATGAAATCTTATAAAAATCATACATGAATCCTACGAAATCTAATGAAATCTCACTATAAGATCTTACATCAATAATCAGTTTCTATGTTTCTTACAGAATTTTTTTTTCGTTTGTTATGGTTATAAAACGTTATAAAGCAATTTTCTACAAACTGGTATACTTGTTCATTTTTTGTCAGCTCGTCTTCACTCTTTTAGACACGCTTTTTATATAGCCTCAACATCGATTTTTGGGGCTGTTTGCACAACAGCTGTGTTTTCATAACGAATCAACGTTCAGAGCCGAGACACTTTTCATTTTATGGAGAAATGTTTAATCTACTCAATTATCTAGTTGTAATTTTAGATTATTTTCTAACTTTATTGCCATAGTTCTTTGAAAAAGAGAGAAAAAAGGAGACCGTTAGCTGAACAAGCCGTGAACAAGAATAGGAAGAGACAGGAAATACTTATTTATTATCAATACAGATGAGTGTCTTTCATCTGCAGCATAACGATTATTTTCGTTAAATGCGGTTTTGTCATCTAATATTGTCAAAACTTTTTAATTTGACATTGGCATTTTTTTGTACTGTGGTGCTTAAATTATGCTCTGTCGATTTATTATGTGTTGACATCCGTTTGTACTATTTGTGTTTTCAATCTTTGGTGTTGAGTAGAAGGTAATCGGTGAATTAGACTAAAAAGTGTACTATTTTTTCTGTCTGGATGATATAAATCTAATAAATAATGAAAAGGTTGTCTGGAAATGGCAACGTGTATTATAGTATTGATATGTGTTGTTTTTCTGAATGAAAAAACGCGTACAAAGAAAACCGATGTCTTAAATCAATCGATACAAGCAACATAATATACAAAAAACTAAATGATGAACATCAATGGACGATAAACACCGACTTTGATTTTATCTGAACACGATTGTTGATAAAGAGATAAAAGCAATGACAAAAAGTGGATCCGCCTCTTGCAAGAGGTATCACAATGATAAATTGGCTAAGCATAACGCTGAGCAGCGTCATAATGTCCTGCACCATGTTGATTGTAAGCTAAATAGATTGTCTTTACATTTTTTCCAGGTGATTCAGATTTAACTTCGATTACAGGCAAATCGGACACCGATGTGAAAATGGTCACGTTAATATTCAAAGCATTACAAATTGTCAACGGTACAATATCGCCTAATATTGATTCAGACACGCCGTTTTTTGAAAATTTTTTTACTTCTTTTAGAAATGTTACTTTTTTATCGACGAAATTGCTGTAATATTGTTGGTTTGTTCTCCATTGATCAACACATAACTGACGTAAGAGATTGGCAAAATGCGTCATGTCCGTCTTTTGTGGAAGGTTCATTAATGCATGAATACTATAGGCAAAATTCTCGTCAACACGCATTTCATAGGCAATACCTTCAGTCAAAGCATAAAATAAACAATTGCCATCACCTTTGACAGGTCTACGACTGAAACCATACTGCTCTAAATTTCGATTTAATCGTCTCTCGTGTAGTTGAGCATCATCATAGACCAAATGATTTTGAGAATTACTAAAACGATTGAATACATTATAAGATTTCATTGCCGATGCCGATGGGGGACGAGTATAATAAGAATAATTGGCTGCTACTGGTTCATAATATCGAGTTGGTGTGGATGGTGAATAATACCAGCGAGCAGTTGACAAACCATAAGATGGAGAATGCATGAATATTAAGTGACAATAATCAATCAATGCTATATTAACTATGTCATGTGTGTTGTGCTCTACTCAAACTGTAAACAATCTTACTTAAAAAAAATAAAAATGACGATGATTCAATACATAGCAGCAGAAGAGAACGCGAGAAAAACACACTTGCTTGAAGGAATTTTTTATTTTGGAAATATTAGACACTCAATTTTTATTTATCGTTTGGGGATGTGAAAGAAAGGTATTTGGTGTAGGTGTGAGTCATAAAATTATTTTTTTTAATTTGGTATTTCGACGATACAACCAGGGACAAAGCGAATAAAAAGAAAAAGACTGAATGCTAGAATTTTTCTATTTTTCTGTTGATTCACATTCTTTTCTTTGTTACATATATTGATGTATATTTAGATATTGTTCTTTTTCTTCGGCGGCTTTTTTTTTCTCTTTTTCTCTTTCAATCTTATAGAAAACCTTAGTACAAGTAATTTTTTGTACAGCAATGAGCGCCTACGATGAGAAAAAACGTTAACGTGCATCTTCGTCATCAACCAAAAGGAAAAACGAAAGAAAATGTTAACGTAATAATGTGAACCTACGTTCTGTGCTTTCTCTTTTCGTAAATGATTCGCTTTCACAGTTGACACAGTGATGACTGCTGAAGACGACACGTATAATAAATATTTATATGAGTTCATGTTCGCTCCTCAATTTTGACGCATGCAATCGCAATGCACCGAATTTTTGTCATTGTTTTTGTTTTTTGATGAAAGTCATGGAAACTAACACAAGTCTATCATTTTTGTTCATACATGTGGCCGTAGGCTATTTAGTGACATACAAAAGATTTTTTAAGAACTTTCCCTTGGTTCAAAAGTTTATTATGTCGACAGACATTATGCATTTGTTTAGTCATCGTTTTTGCAAAAAAGTGAGTTGCATGATCCATAGAAGTAGGTAACGTAGAGACGTTCTGAAAACTGGAGATAGCTCTCTGGCCTTAGACAAAAACGTTTGTGCAAGAATCCAGTAAGAGTCTTATCAAATTCTTATACAAGATTACGCAAGAAAGAGATGCAAGATAGAGTTGTCGATATACTAAGACAAGAAATTTAAAATCTAAAACTGGTTAATCAGAAAGTGATGGCGATTTTTTTCAAAGTTCTTTTGCACGATTCAGATGCACTCACTATTCACGCAATTTAACTTCTTGAGCATTTTCCAGTTGGCTTTACAAAACAAGAATTCCATAAGAAAGTGCTAAGAAATTCATAAGACTTCTTATCACTTTCTTATGAAATTCTTAGGACTTTTTTATCAGACTCGTAAAAGACTCTTACCAAAGCCCATTCACTTTCCTGCGTAATATTATACAAGAATTTGATAAGAATCTAGTAAGATTCTTACGTGAATCTCATTGGGTACTTATAAGTTTCTTATAAGATTCTTAACTGATGCTTATATAAGAATCGATACCTAGAGGGGTACTGAATGTGAACCATTTCATGTTCTTCTTTTAAACACAAGTCCAGATTCGCGAGATCAGTTTCATGAGTGGAAGAAAAATGTGTCTGAACTTCGAAATTTTTAATGTATTTCTAGTTGCCCGCCATTTTATTTGAAACCAATTTGTATACATATCTTCTGATTAGTGAATTTCTTTTCACATAAATGCATCTAATAAAAGATATACTAAGTGATTATCAGTTCTTTAAAATTATTTAATTTAATCTAAAAAAAGTGAAATTTCTCGAATTCTTCCGTGTTTCTTTTATATCTTCATGGTTACACATCAAAACAGTGAATGGATAAAAACGGTTACAGTGCGATATTTTTTTATACCCCGGTCTGATAAATTACCCGTTGGTTAACCGTGCGGTGCGGTATATCGACGGTCTTTTGTTGAACCGGCGGTATTTTAGAAAAAAGCTCGACATGAGTAGCAGCCATACTAGTATGGATACTATTGGCTGTGTCATGTGTATTGTGCTCTACTCAAAATGTAAACAATCTTACTTTCTTAAAAAAATAAAATTGACGATGGTTCGATATTTGGCTCAGAACTATTGTTTTTCCTCAGAAGATGTAGAAAAGAAATGCATCTGACGGTTGATGGTATGACAATCATGAGTGTTCTCAGTGTAAGAACATTTGCGTGTCCGTTGGTGCATTTCAGGATGTTTCGAGTATCAGTTCGATCCTGGTTAATGCATAGAGAATAGCGGCGCATCCACTGCGACTCATTTACAGGATGCTATTAAAGTTGTATTAACGAACTGATATTGATTGATTGATTGATTTTTATTTCGACAACAGCCGTTTTGTATTAAAAAGAGTAAACACTTTATTTTTACAATACCAAAGCCTAACCTACACATAAACATGTTGTCAGGAAAGCAAAAAAGGTGTAAACAGCTATAAAAATTGCGTCTGCTCAGAATCTAGTAAGCTTTTGCACACAATCTGCCATAGATCTATTACAGGATGTGACAAAATTCTTTGCAGACAAAGCATAGAAATTTGCGAAATAACAAAATCTCTTCAACACATTTTATTTGGGTTCTCTGTTTTATCGTTAATCTGTTTTTACTTTGTTTAATTGGTTTACTTGTCTCTGAAATTGTTGTTTGAGGGAAGCTTGGGTGATTATTGTATGCGAAGGAAAAATCAAAAAAATAACTCGAAAGTCACGGAATGACGCAAAAGTTAGAAGCCTGACGAACCGTAGCTTTTTGTAGAAAACCGTAGAAAATTTGTAAACCTAGAATGCAATTGTGCTGCGCACAAGCTGCGGTGTCGACAAACATTGGTCGCATTAACAAAGACAGAGAGATCGTTAAGAGATGCACTCAACAGTGCTGAAAGAATGCTTAAATATGTTTAACAGTCACTTAAATATGTTCAACGATATTGAAATGCTTAATGTTGGATGGGTTGAGCTTAGAGAAGATACAAAAGCGAAATATAAAAAGTGCGAATATTACGACACATGTTTAAGCAGTAACTTTTCAACTTTTCTTCTGTTCTAATCTGAGATGGCGCGAACATATTGAAGATGTTGTACTAAATTGTAGAAAGCGACTAGACGCTATGTATGGACAATTTAAAGATGCATCCTCTTCAATTCATCCACAAATTTATATGTGGATGATAACAATGATACAAATGAAACTGATTTGATCATGTTTCACGTCAGTAAATTATCACTAATCATACAACATCGATTTCTAGTAGATGGTTGACATCTAATCCAAACCTAACATACATTGTTGTTGGTGGTATGTGGCGCAGTGTTTTGTTTAGTGATAATTTACTGACGTGGAACATGATCAAATCAGTTTCATTTGTATCATTATTTTCATCCACAAAGCAAAACGAAAAACATGAGATATCCAAAAAATTAATCTATGTGCGTCACTTACATCATTTGTTACTATGTCATCACCATCAACACAAATATTTAAATTCTGTGGTACATTTTAACCATTGATAATACTCCAAATGACACGAAGCCATACACATGAATGAATCATTAGGATCACTCTTCACATAACGAGCCGACAGAAATGCCCTCATCGAAACAGCTGTTACCTTTTTCTTTTTGTGCTTACCACCCAACTTTCGTGCACAATCGATACAATGCTCATGCATCACCAAAGCGTCTATGAAAACAGATACTCTCAACTTAACACTGCACACTATAAAAATGATGCGACATCAAAAAATCAGGACACTCTTTATCGTCATAGAACAACTGCTTTCAACTAACAAGCGCCAGGGTTGACATACGGATTATTTGTACATTTCTGAACTAATTTCCTCTGTTTCGTTCATATTCAGTTCTTTTCTGACACAAAAACAACAGTGAAATGGCACTGCGTGTATAACACCCAAACGCTTGTGTTTTTGTGTCAGAAAAGAAGTAAATATGAACGAAATAGAGGAAATTAGTTCAGAAATGTACAAATAATCCGTATGTCAACCCTGGCGCTTGTTAGTTG